CCAAGAACATTTTATAAAATCTTTTTTTATTCGAAAACTCAGAAATAATAATATACACTATTTTATTGTGCATCATTTTACATAAAATAAAATACAATGATGTTATCTATACATAAAACAAAATACAATGGTCTTATTTTCACATGAAACAAAATACAATGGTCTTATTTTCACACGAAACAAAATACAATGCTCTTATCTTTACGTAAACAAAAATACAATGATATTATTTTTACATAAAACTAAATACGATAATCTTATCTTTAGGCAAACCAAAATACAATGATCTTATCTTTGCATAAAACGAAATACAATAATCTTATCTTTAGGTAAACCAAGCTAGAACGGTCTTGTCTGTACGTAAATCAAAATACAATAGAAATCTCATGTATATACCGTATTTAAATGTTACACATACATTCAAAAGAATAATTCTTTTTAGTAGAAACGTGTAACAGGAGACTGGGGTTCCAAGAACCCCTGTTAGTATTCGACGCGACAACTCACGGCTCAGTCTTTCTGGGGTTACGGCAGGGATGTCTTGAACGGGTGGGGCCCCTTGCCACGTTCCCCTTTAGCAAGCCGTCAAATAAGCGACGAACGATCGCATTTTTCAGCATTGTACCGTCACAATTATTGAAACTGTGGAACTATTATTTTTCTCAACAAAATAGTCAACCGTGGAATTGCGAAAATTGTAAATTTCAATGACATTGTCTTCTGTGTTTGATTGCCATGTGCTTAGTTGCATTGTATTTTGCAATATGTGTGCTCTGAAGTTTGATTTCAATTTACAAGCACGTAATGAATTTCAAGTGTTGTCAACTTTATATCGTATATTGAATTATAAATATTAAAAAAGTGTTTAAAATGCAAATTGGAAATTTTATTTGCGGTAAATATTTCAGAATTTTGTTTGGATACTTTTATGTTTTCAAGTATATATCTTCGGATATGATGGAAAATTAAGGCAATTAACTGTTTGTTTATGAATTTTAGGATTTCATACAGGTGTAATGAAAACTGTGTATCGTTTATACTATTCATTGCTTCGAATGTATGATATTAAATAGAAGAAAAATAATGGTGTTCATGGTTTTTTGTTTTTATTGTATTTATTGAAGTCATTGCATTATCTTGTCTGTTTTCATTTCATCAAGCAATGTTTTATTGTGTTTCCTTTGCTGCTAATGTTTAAAAATTTACTGACACTTGATAATTCTTGTTTCACGGTGTCAAATAAAAGAAAAATAATGTAGTCCATTATTTTAATAATGCTTTATTATATTTTCTCCGTTCGATACGTGTAGCATGGAAGTTTATGCACATTGTGGAATTTTCCTATTCGAAATTATTTTATTACATCGTAATTATAATATTCCATTTTTTCGATAGATAATTAGATTTCCGTAACAATATCTTCATTAGGAGGAAAGGAAGTTATTCCAACGAAAGGATCATAAAATAGTCCCAAACAATAATTGATTTCTAAATATAATACTGTCATTTCTCTATAGCTATGCGTATTTACTTGATTTAAGAGTATACAAGGTGAGCATAAAGTTAAAATATTCATACGGTTTTCATTCGTTGAAAAATCGAAGTTATTGACTAAGTAATCGTGGGAAGTGATAAATATTTTAAAAATATGTTCAACGTCACGAAAGGATATACTGTATGTAAACATTATATATTTATACGTGGATGAAACATGGAAATTCATTTCTTCATTGATAAATTCTTAGAAATTAGACTAGTACTGCTAATACACTGAATATTAAGATATACATGTAAAAGTTCAACTTATCACACAATTAAACAGATCTCCTAATTTTGATCTCATACAAATAGATGCAACCAAAATAACAATCTTCATAACAGTACAAAATAGTTAATATCACAGAACAATTAATACTGAATACTTAATATATAAATACAGCATCGACACATGAAAAATATAGATATTTCAATTACCATTGAATTATAAGAATAATTAAGACACGAATGAAACCCGAGTAAAACGTAACTAATACAGTTTGTTGCCATGTAAAATATACACGCTGTAACTATAAATAAACAGCCCAATGAAGAAATTCAAATAATGATACAAATCTGAATATGAATATAAATAAAAACCGTCACACGAATGCACGTCCTACGTCAGTTTTCAAGATACAGCCGATTAAAAGAAACATTCGAAGTGCCCTTTCGTGTTTCAACGCTCACCAGGAAGACAGTTCGATCCAGTGCTCCAGTCCAACGAAAAAAGAGGAACGAAAGAAGAAAACGGCTATGTTTCATCCTCGGCTTAATTAATTACTAAACCTATCACCACTACCTCATCCCCCTCACGAAAGACTCGATCAGAATCGCACAATTTTCTCGCGTTAAGCGGTGGTCCCGGGTTGAGAACCGCTGAAACAACGAACAAGGGACACGCCTTCGAGCTAATTGTAAAGCCACTTTGTACCTGGACGACTGAACACGAGGTCCCAATAAGAAAGCATATTCCATAAATTACCATGAGACCCGCTAAAAACGTCCGTCAGCCGTGCAAACGTAACAGAATCGCAATCTTCGAATGCAATTAGAGAATAGAATCGCCCCCAGAGTGGAACAGCCGTCTAACAAGAGGTTCGCGCGTCAGACGAATCCTAAAGAACTAGTCTCGAGGAAAGCCGGGGGCAAAGGCGAAAAGGGGAAAAAACAAATAATTAACGAAAAGGTACGGCCAGCGTCGCGACAATCGCCAAGAACTATCGAAGATCGAGAGATCGTCCTGGCAGTGCCTACGAGCAGCTTGATATTCGTCCGACGCGCGCCACGGAGCCCGCCTGCGTATGGACGCGGAATAAATTATCCCGAAGTCTGTCCCTCTCCTTTTCCTCCCGGCCGATCCTTTTTCTTCTGGCGTCCTTCTCCCTCGTTTCCAGCCGGCCGCGCAGCGCGCTTTCCTCGTCTCTTTCACCGGCGGTCTTTCTCCCACCGGTGTTTATAGTGATTTCTCCTTTGGTGGTGGTGGGACGATACCGGAAGTGAAGCCAGTACGGCGGAACCAGACGTTCACTCAATGGAAAGTTTGAGTTCTTTCAGTACGTCGAAGAAGGCTCCGGGAGCCGTGGATCGCCGGTTCCTCCCGCGTGGAAAATCCGCTTCTTTCGCCTGGTGCCGCGGCATTCTTGCCTGCGACTCGCGCGTGCACGGAAGAAACCCGAAGAACCGGAGAAACTCCTGGCCAGCGGCTCCGATACCGGCGATCGGCCTCTTCCTTCGCGTGCCCGGCCTCGTACGCTCGCCCTCCGGCGAGGGGAGCACTCGCGTTTCCATCGCGGTCGCAGTGGAAAAGCATCCGGTCGTCTCGTTGACACGTGTCTGCCTTTCAAATTCTTCTGTGGTGTCTCTTCGTGGTTCGGACTTCGAATGACGGGATTGCTGCGATTTTGACTGAATGGAATGGAGCTTGATGTCAAGTTTAAAGGAGAAATGAAAGAGGTTGCAGGAGACACGAAGGCGCGCGAGGAAGTTTGTCCGAGGAAACTTCTGTGGTGTCTCTTCATCTTTGCGACTTTGAATGACGGGAGGCTACATGTGAAGGACAGTCCGTTGCGATTTTGACTAAATGGAGTGAAGTTTGATGTCAGGTCTAAAGGAAAAATAAAAAAGGTTACAGGAGACACGAAGGCGTGCGAGGAAGAATGTCTAAGGAAACTTCTATAGTGTCTATTCGCGGTTTCGACTTTGAATGACAAGAAGCTACCCGCGATAGACACTTTCTAGCGATTTTGATTAAATGGAATGGACGATTTGTTTGAGACTGTTCCGGCTAGGAGTACTATGAGAAGTGTTCAAAGTTTTCGAGTCTAAGCCGTGTCTATTAGGAATTATTTCCTCACGTTTCGCTAGTATTGCGACTGACATCATCAGGGGGTTTAAGGACTCACTGATACTGGGAATGGAATGGCGTTTCATGTCAACTGTGAAGGAGGAAGAAATGAGATTGTAGAAGACATAAAGAGACGTGTAAGGAAGGATGTTTAAGAAATTTTCTATTGAGTCTCTCTATGTTTTGGACTTTGAATGACAAGAGGCTACCCGCGAAAGATACTTTGCAGAAATTTTCAGTTAAATGGAATGGAGTTTGATGATAAGCGTAAAGAAGGAATAAAAGAGATTGTAGAAGACATGAAGGAGTATAATGAAGATTGTTCAAGGAAATTGGGATTTATGTCGGCCACTTGCTTCCAAATAGAGATTAAACCAAAGGAAGTTGGAGGACTGCTTGCTTCCGGAGGTTTGTCCTTAGTGCCGCCATGAATGAAGTGGGGACGTACGAATTTATAAGCAAGATTGTAGGTTTTATTCTCGATGGGGAATGTTAACGGTTGAATCGAGTATGAGACATTTGTCGCTGAAAGTGATGAAAATAATGTAGTAGACTTTTGAGTTTTTTGTGTGTGTCACTTGGTTTTGATAGTTGTTGGGTCTATGAATAAAACTCTTGTTTGCTTTAAATATTTATAAATATCAAATAGAAACATTGTGGGAAATAAGTTGTCCATTGTTGGCAGCTGATTTACTAAAGGACTAAAATATTGGAAAGTAACCTTTTCGTTGAACTGCTTACTTAGAGAAGCAAGCGATGGATATAATGAGCAACACTTTGGTTAAATCTATGGCTTGCAACAGTATTTGCCTTTGATCAGTAAAAATGAGATAATTGTACTGGAAAAGGGGATAATAAGCCGAGTCAGCGTCGCTTAGGTTTGCGGTGGTCGGTTGATATCCACTATTTTCAAGCAAAACCCAAGAGAAGATACTTTCACTTCGGTCTCGCGTGTGCTTCTTGGTTAAAACGCTTCGAACTTCGAGAAAACTGTTCGTTGATGAGTCTATGACAAGATGATAAGGTGCTGTTGAGAATTCACGACATAGTAGTGAGACAAGTGTTCACGGGCGTGCAAGAGAGGGTTTCGGCGCGTTTGCGGGAGCATTCTTCAGAGATGGTCAGCCAACACGCGATGGCCACCACCGTTCGCAAAGTCAAGCAGGAGAACCGTCTCAGGAGGCAAAATCAGAATCAAGGTACACGCAGAACTGTATAGAAACTTTCGTGAAGTATTCGCTTAAAGTTTATACCGACTGATATATCTGAAAATGATAAAAACTCGACGAAATTTTAGAATCCTTTGAATTTTCGTTGTTCAATCATAACAATCGTGGTTTAGTAATATAACAAACAAAATCGATTAAAATATTTTATATTATATTTTATAATTTCATTATAAATGAATTTTATTAGTAGTTATTATACTTTGTAATATATATTTTATAATTTAATAGATGATGAGTATCCTGATTTTTCTGTTTATTACGTGATGTAAGAACATCTTTAGAGAAGCTAACCTCAAAATTGTAAAGCAGAAGCTGAATACTTTAAAATTAATAACAAACGAAAATTGTGACAGTTTGAAGTATTGACGATTCTTTTGACAATGCTTTTTGTAGCTACTGTATACATATACAAGTTCATTTGAAATGTAGTGAGTCATTGAATTTATAAAAAAAAATCTTTCGACCACTGAATCATAAAATCTGCATTATAAACGTTTTATAGAAATCTAATAAAATATAACCACATTTTCAAGGAACATTTGTAATATGACGATGTTTGTTTTCGCATTTTATTCCCTCGGTTCAATCAAATATTTGGCCATTCTTTTTATGTGTTGCAAAGTAAACAGTCGACGCGAGTCCGTTTGATATCATTCTGGCATACAATTATGCAATAATACCATTAATATTAAGTGTTGACGAAACTAGTAGAAAGTGCGCATTGTACGCAACTTTATTGCATATTTTATGCTCTTCTGCTGAAGAATGTACGAAATACTGACAAGAGAATCTCATTACTGTGTCAGGCTATAGTTCAAACAAACTTGACGAAAAGTAACAGAAGAAAATTTTGATTCTATTATTTAACTAGTTTTATAATCCGACGATTCAATTTTTCTGTAAGTGACTGACGTATACATATACAAGTACATATATACTATAAGTATATACTTACGAAATGCAGTTGCATTTGTACAAATGAAACCATATTTTTTTATATAAATCGATTTCTTGTGTTATTCTGTGAATAAACGTGTTAGAGTAAAGTCATTACTCTAAATAAAAGCTTGAGGATTTTACTTTTCTCAAAAACTCATCAGGTGGTAAAACGTTTCAGTGAAAAGTAATTGTAAAAAATCAGTTTTGCAATCACCATATACGATACTATATTAAACTTATTTAATTGTGAATCTAAAAGACATTTAAACGTCTCTCTTGTGTTTTCTTTAAGAAATCGTTTCGTCTGCACGTGTTAAAGACATATTAATGTTTCAAAGAATTACTACTACCTTCTATACTAATACCAGTTAATTAAAAAAGTAAAATGAAGTATAAGAAAGTTGAATATTTCTCTCCTTTAGTAATTTTAACAGAGCTTTTCCTACTGTATCTTCTGTTCTTTCTTTCATCAGGCAGCGCTTCGTTGTACCTCTTTTCTTTAATTCATAGATCTCGTGCGGTTCTGTGTATCATGAGATTTCGCCGCAAGAAATTATTTTACTGTACCGTAATAGCCGTGATGTTTGCTATTCTCATCAAGTAATATTTCACCTGGCAGTAACGCTTTGTTTTACCTTTTTTTTCTTTAATTCATAGATCTCTGTGTATCATGGGATTTTGCCGCTAGAAATTGTTTTACTGTACCGTAAGGGCTATAGTTCTTGTTATCTTCATTGAGTAATTAGTTTTCCATGATAAAATCCTGACTGGTAACACGGGAAAACGTCATAACGTGAAATCTTTTAATTAAATAAACATAGGATTAATAATCGTAATCTTATTAATTCTTCACATTAACTTGAAATATTGTCTAGTTAAGAGTCTAGGTTAAGATGGAGATGCATACTGAAATATTTATTCACACCTTTCTTGAAGATTATCAAATGAATGACTACAAGCCTCCGAGGGGCAGTGTAAATTATAGGAAGTAAGAAGTTTGTTACACATTTATTCAAATGTTTATAAATATTTATAAAATAGTGACCCTTTTCAAAGTTTGATGCGTTTAAAAGGTAAATGAATGTAAATAAATTAAACGTTTCATAACCGATAGGTAACACATCCCCGTAAGTTTGTCTTCTAATTAAACCGTTCTCTTATGCATTTCTTTATACGCCATGATTTTTGGTGTAACAAACTACACAGGAAATATAACGAAATTTGAATTTTCAAATATTCATTAGCTTCGTTACGGTAAGACTAATTATTTAGTTAGGGGAAAAGACACCTAGGCTAGACTAATTTTCCTTAGCGGATACGTCGAAGTTCGCTGGAACTAAATGTAGCTTTACGCGCAGCTGAACATCAACTTAATTACGATTAACTGTATAAGATTAACTCCCTTGGCAATTACTTTTTCATTAGAAATTAATGATCCCCTTTCTCGGCATCTTCGTAAATGTTTCGAACGAAACATTTAAAATACTCGAACGTACCGATATTTCGAATACAAAATTTTAATGAGATTCGATCGAACCGATGCCGATAGAGCTAACAATTCAAAACACGAACTTAACACATGATTTTTCGTTTACGGAAGTTTCATCTCTCTTGACATATTATACCTTCAGATGTTTTACTAAATGTACTTTTACTAAGTGTACCTTTTACTTGGTGAACAATGTGTTTCATTGTTCATTTGTGACATGTACAATTCCTTATAATTTATCGAATGTAATACAAAAATCGAACACATGGAATTTAAAATAATGCATTATTGTAAATTTTACTGCATAATCATTTATGTAGTTGAAAATATACTAATTTCTATAAAAGATATTAATAGGTTCATAGATCATCATTGTAGTTACTAATAATTAACTAGACCAAGCTGGTTAACCTCTAACCACATTGCATTTTTTTGCTACTGAGCTTTAACTTTTTACTATCAAATATTTGGAAGAAAAGGAAAGATATTTCCTGTTGCACTAAAAGGTGTCGCTTATGTGATGCACAGAAAATTTGCGTGACAGTCAACGCGTCAGCTCGAGACGCCATGCTGTACAAGTAAAATGGAAAACATCCGTTGAAACATAACAGTACCAACATTGCGGAAATGCATATTAAATATATTTATATCATATGCACATTTTCAAATTATATATAATACGCTTGTATTTATTCTCCTTCATGTTTATTTCACTAAAACTATTCACTAACTAAATAAAATCATATACCTTCTCAGTTTCGCTAAATGTTTCGCCATTTATAATTTTTCTTTGCAACGTGTCATAGACATTTGTGAAATTTTCATAACTAGTTTCTCCAAACGTTGCTCTATTTCTAATTATCCTTTGTAACGTATCCTAAACATTTACTAAATGTTCATAACAAGTTCCTCTAAATCTACATAAACTTTCTCAATCTACCAGCAACGCGTGCTAAACAGTATTTCCCAAATACCTTAAAAATCACTCCCAGTAAATCGAACGATCCGAGAAGCACATAATTGTCCACGATCGGCGCAAAACATGCGTAGAAACTTTCACAAAACGAGTATATTTGAGTCGCGCAAAGCATCGTTTCCCCGTGTTAATAAAATCGGCCAGCGAAGAACTCATTTAAAAGAACAATAGTCAATTTCAATTTGCCTCTCGCGATCGGCGAGAAGAAATCGTCGCGTCGCCTTTCTCTTTTACGGTCGAACCTGTCGATAAGCTGGAATCACGGGAACCGATTGTTAAACGGGACATGAATTTCAGATGAGGAGGGACTTTACAAGCCAGTACCACCACCGAAACCGGTGCCGAACAATCAGAAGAACCAGAACGAGCAGCAGGAGAACAGGGTGCAAACGGTAGCCGAGCAATCGTCCCGTACGACTACCGGCATCGAAAGGAACCCCGCGCACGACGACAGCCAGCTTCGCAGTTCCGGGCAGAACTTTGCACCGGAATACAGGATGCCACCGCTCTACGGGGAGGAGCAGAGTTCAAGTCAGACTCAACAGGCAGCCAATTTACAAACTCACAGTAGCAAATTTCCGGTACGTGTTCAAATAAATAAACCGTTTATCCTGAGACTGGATTAGCCCTTGGCTAGAAAATGGCAGGCAGAAAAAGGCATGCGAGAAACGCTCACAGAGGAATGAGTGGGTGGACGAAATCGGACAAGAAAAATGCGCTCAATATATTGAGTCATCTTATAAATAATGTGGTTTTTTTAGGTTTCTTTTAGTTTTTGAGATGAAGATAAAGAAAAGTGGGTTTAATCTAAAGCATATTCTTCTTCGTTACCTATAGGTTTTGTATTTGTACATTATAATTACTTTAGAAAAAGTTATGTCTATTTTTACTTTTTAAGAATATGAGATATATAGAAAACTGTATTATTTATGGGATGATCCAATATTTTTCAATAATTTTTTGGTCACGTAATCGCGTAATTTTTGTTTATCTTCATTTTTAAAAATAAGGGAAATATAGAAAACAGCATTATTTATGGGATGATCCAATAATATACGCAGAGAGCATAATTCGTATATATTAACCCTCTATAGGCTTGCGTGATTTTGAAGTCACATACCAATATATTGGGATATTGTTGATTCATTTCATTTTGCATAGCAAATTGGCGAATAAAATTAAGTAATTGATCAAGTTAATCTTTGATACGCTCAGGCGTTAAAGTTCAACGTCATTCTAATTTTACGATTCCAAGGTATATTAATACAATTATTAAAACGAAAAGAAGTTCTTTTTTTATGATATTTTGCAATGTTTGAATATGAATTTACATTTTTTAGCTACATCTAAACTTAACTGAGAAAACCTATATTTCATCTATTAATTTTAGTATGCAATTAGATTTCATTTTGCCCAACTCTGCCTTATAATCGATTCGGAATTAATTTCAAAATGAATTTAATGAAATCGAATATTCATTGATTATTCATTAATAATTATACTATATTATTCAAGATTATTAACATAATATTATTAGCTGATAAAGTACGACCTGCATTCTCGGTTTTTCACTTGGACTTGCATCAATGTTACTCAATTAAGCTTTAACCTTTTGCACTCGAAAGTTTATTTGCTACATGTATTTATTTCCTATTGAATATTAATAATGCGCGAATCAATAGGTAGAAATATCGTATTCGAATATTGCACGTCTAATTGCATAACCTAAAGCAGCATATTAAATATTGACTTTTATAATTTTGCTATATCACATGAAACGGTGACTGTGAGTTGTCCCTCGAGTGCAAAGTGTTTAATTTAAAGTGGAACCTGCGTCGAAGTTATACAAGTCAAATATAGCTTGACATGGTACTCCACTAATTTATTGGGGAACATTTGACAAGCATTCAAATTATACGTTAGAGTTATATTTATTTGCCCATTTTTATTCATTCGTCCTTCTTTATATCGAAACATTAGTTTTCCCCGGATACAATTATTTACAGATTTATTTGCTAATTGTGCTATAATTACACACGCCCGGCATCTGTCCGAAAAGGACTGACTTTTGTCTGTGTTTTAACGAAATATCCCTTAACGACCACTTCGTTTAAAACGTCTCAGGTCGTTAAGGGTAATTTGCTCCGGGATGCAGTCGTCCAATGTTTTTCAAATGCGTTGTAGCATTACGTACGACATGATTGCTATATAATAATTAATTGCAACAAAAATGGGCAAAACACGCGGTTATTAGAACGAAGTTAAATATCGAATCTTTCTTGGCATGTGACCTTGGCGCAGGGTTAACCATTCTTACAAAATAAAACTCGAGATAAAATACATAATATATTTTTTTTATTATCAATACTTAATTTCGAGAACGTAGGCTTGCAGAATACTTTTCTCTTCTAGCTGATTATTTACGGTGAAGTAGCTCTAATGAGTACAACCTCGAAAATAATTGTATGGCAAAGGTTAATGTTATGCTCGGAACACAACGGATAAATTATATATTATTTGCATAATCTGTATTCTGCATTTTTGTCATAATGAAGTTCAATATACCGAGACCGTTAATGTAAAATACCTGCATGAAAGTTATTGAAGATTGTTTCTGATAATCGACTCATGGGACCGCAATAATATAGAAATAGGCATCGATAATGGTGGCCTTAGAGTGGTTTTGTAAAGTCATTAACCTGTTAATCGGATGATTTATCAAGCATGAACATTCAAGAATTCACACCTTATTTTATAATATCGAGTCAGATTCGTAGCGATGATTTCAAATATAATTTAACAAATGTAAGTGTTATTCAATTCTTTTAAGTTCAAATGGAACATTATTTTTCTTATCATTAAACTGCATACACATGAAAATATCCAAAGCATAATACTCTTTATAATGTTTTTTTTCTAAACAAAACCGTTTTCTATTAAAAATTAAACGTTGCATAAATAGCTATAGTCTATTGATCATTTATCGTAGGATAAAACTTACAATGGTACCGATACATCCATAGCTGTGACCTATGACCGTGTGGGTTTATGATACGTTCATTGCTATTGAGACGCAAGGAGGAAGAATTTGCGATTCTTCCTTACTGAATTATGGTTTGGAGTTGGCATAGAGACCGAGAAGCTGTAAAATACGTATTGAAAATCCGAATATCGATAAAACTGCCCTAGACTTATATGTTCTTAATAATACAGTTTAAGTGTATGATGGGTTTGTATTATATTAGGGGGACTGTAAAGAAATCCATTATTTTTAGCCTTAGCATGAAGCATTATTATTTCGTATGAATGTTTTAATACTAATTCGAAGTATAATTCCTTTTTTATTTTGGGACAGTTTCTCATCAAGTGATCCGTTTTTACAAATTCGCTTTTTCGATTGATTCTTAAAAAATTACATAAAATAATAAAACTTCCTGTTGAAACAAAAAATATTGAATTTCTTTGTGCCCATCCTATATAAAGAAATCAAATTTGAAGGGTTTCGTAATACAATATCGAGAAACTAAAATGATCTTCGAGAATTTTCTCAGAGAAAACTAAAATATATAAAATCCAAATTTTGCAATTTTATTAAACCTTTGCATTTGATAATATTTTTCGTTATAAGTACTTATCATTCTTTGACAGAAATATTTTATTTCCATATTTAACGCGTTGATACGTTATACTAAATTTAATATTGAATTTTAAATTTTATAATTTTGCTGTGCTGAATCAAATAGCGATTGAGGGTCACCTTTCGAGTGAAAAGAGTTAATAAGTATTTTAAGAACATATGACATTTTGAAGTAAAAATGTAAATTTGTTTCGGTGGTACATTATATTTATCGAAGCATATCGGTTAAAGTGCTGTACATATATGTGAATGTAATTCAATTAAAATTAAAATGGTAATCTATTATTGAAAAATAGACAATACTGACGAATGGTGGAAAAGTATTTAATTATATGCAAACAAAATGTCCAATTTTTACCTGAAAATATCAATGTTGATATTTACATAGTTATAGCTGAAACGATAACAGAATATAAACTGAATTTATTTTCAAAGTTTCAAGTGAATTGGACGGTTGGTTTTTTAAATATCGAGTTAACTGATCATAAAAAGTATTGCTTTGAAAACAACGCGTTTAAAATTTTACATTCAGTTTTATGCCGTATAAAATACAAAATATGGTGTTTACTGGCAATCAGCAAGCTTTATTCTAGTGCTATAACCTAATTCAGGTTTCTCGTGGAGAGCATTTCGAAGCGTATTAGCTTCTCTCGAGGAAATTCTTCAGCTTCCATTGTCGTTTGTTCGTATTTTCTCTTGGTACTCATAATTCTCTTGGCGTTCGACAGAAAAACTTGAAGCAATCGATCCAGTTACTGTTCCCATTGCTTCCAATGTTTTAAAAATGGAGGAGTACGTTCCATTAGAAATAGCTACTGTTAAGTAATTATTTATTATAAATAAATATATTAAATATTTATTAAATTTTAACAGTTTTAGCATGACAATATAAATCTTCTTCTTTCATTATTATTCTGGATGTTTATATTTAAGTATTAGAATAAGCCCTCAAAAACTGTGGTGACGACGAAAAACGGATTGCATATTTGAATTCAGCTCGAGAAACACTATTAAGATCACCCACTGAACTTTCTGTAACAAAAATCGTGTTGACCGGTGTAATTAATAGTTTTCCATAAATAGTGTATCAACATCAGTCTACTCCACAAAATTATAAAACAACGAAAAGATAAAAGGTAAAGATTAACAAAAAGAATTATAACAACTTATTTTATGTACTACATTAAACAGATTGGTATCATTATTAATAAACATTACCGCTATCCTAGTTTCGATTTCCCGTGACCGACTCAAACGTTCGTATAATCACGTACGGTATTTAGCGTGCATCGTAACGAAAGTGGCATTCCGAAACGTGGAATCACCGATTTCCAGAGTTCACGTGAATTTTGTCGAAGACTGTATGTTGCAATGTTCGCCGCGCACACGCGCCTTTATCGCGTTCGAAAGTGGAATAAATTTTTCATAAGGAAAACGGAGGGTGCTAGAACAACAAGGATCTGGTAAGAATAATGCGGATGGATCAACGCTTCGCGATCGCGTTACGGGCAGCGGCGGTGTGTTAATTAACGATGCAAGCGTATGCATTAATTCAACGTGCGCGGAAAGCGTGTACACGTGTGCAACCAGGGTAGCCTCGCTACATACAGTCTGTCTCACAAGAACGTACCGGCTATATCTCCGTAAACATCAATATATATTTGTGAAGAAGAATTTGATATGGATGGAATTCATTAGTTTTTTTTATTGCCCTCTGGTGCTTTATTAAGACTTATTCCTTCTGTAAATCGAAATAGATAAAACACGCCTTATGCTTCCTGTAATTTTAGCGGAATATTTCATGATATTATTATTAGAATGTGAATTTTAAGCAAAAATTTTATTTTAATTTTTTCATTTGAAACAATTTTTTTTAAATTCTATTTTTGAGAGGAAAATGTGCTACATTGAGTTGATTATAAAAAAGTTTTACCATAATTAAAT